AAAATGAAGAATTTTTTTCTTCCTCTTTTTTTTTCTTTTTTGGTCTATCTTTGTTTTGTTTTTATTTTTATAAAGGGAGATCACACACACACACACACACACACACACACACACACACACACACACACACACGTAGAACCAGACGGTCAGTTCCTCCTTCCAGTTCTGCTAGTAATTTCTATGTAAAAGAGAAGTAAGCGTTCGTCTCTGTGTCTGCTTGCACTTTGTGTACAGGCTTAGAACCGAACAGCGCAGTCCCGCAATGGGTACACAGCCCAGAGGAAGCTGGTCACTCTGAAACACAGGATGAAACAGTATCCAATGTCAGAACTAACATCAGGCCCAGTGGCACCCCCTGCAGACCTCTGTCCTCTTCCTTACTTGTTAGAGGTCAGTCTCAGATACCTAACTACATCCCCCAATAACAGCTCTAGCATAAACACTGGCTGCTGATTTTCACTGTATCGATTCCCCTGAAGCATTTGTTTTCTGTCCTCTGAAGTCACTAAAAGATCCCTATATCTGCTCCTCTCCCCACCTCACTGCACCTCTGGAATCCTCCCTTGCTTCCCAGAACAATTGAGCTCTGGGGAACAGAACTCAGCCTCATTCACATCCCTTGGGATTCATGTTCAGCCCTAGCCCAGAAGTACAATATAAAACACAAGCAACCCCAGATTTGTCCCTTCCTCATGGGATTTTAAAGTGTGATGCACAGTAAGAGGTGTCACAGTGAAAATGAGCAGTGAGTTGGAAAAAGTGTTGAGTCTAATTTGTGGAAGGTGAATTCAAGCATAAAGAGCATAAGCAGAGATCAGGAACTAACTGACCAGGCCACCATGAAGATGGGGAGCATGTGCTTAATAAAAATCTAAAGATTTATAAAACAACACATAATTTTCCCCATGTTGAATATTCCCTAGGTTATGCAAAAGTGGAAGCTATGTGATACATATTTATGTGTTTTTTATATAATATTATACACACACATTTTTGCAGTGCTGGGAATTAAATCCATGGTCTTATACATGCTAGGCAGATGCTGTACACCTCTCTCTCTCTCTCTCTCTCTCTCTCTCTCTCTCTCTCTCTCTCTCTCTTCCTATGTATCTCAGGCTGACCTCTAACCTATGATCCTCCTGCCTCATCCTCTCAAGTGCTGTTAATAGGCACATTGGCCACCACACCCAGTGGAACCCTAATTCTTGTTAACTCGAGTCCTTTCTCCTCATGCCTCAACTCATGCAATCACTTCATAAACAAGCCCAGGATTGCTCTTGCTTAAAACGTCTCCACCTCTTTATCCATCTATACAGCTGTCAAAGACAATTACATTCACCTCTAAAACCTCAATAATGGAGGCTGATGACTGGTACCAATCTCCAACTAACTAAGCTAACAGACCATGCCATGGGGGAGGGGGCTGGCGAACACAGCATCCTGCCTTCAAGAATAGCTGTTGAAGAAAAAATATGGCTCTTCACAACTTCCGAAGTTTTCCTCTTTTCTTGAGTTCAGAATAAGGTTTAGTCAAGCATTCCAGAAAGCCAAGACAGTGCATTTTCCCTGACACGTTTGGACAAATTACAAATAAGTTCTTTCAAGCAAAACAACTCTGGGTATAATGTGAAGGTTTTTAGCCAGACAGTAGTCTGGGACTCAGGATAAAACATCAGTTAGACATGTGATCTCTCCTTAAGAAGCCTATAGTTCAGGAGAACACACATGTAGAAACATAAATGTGTATTATGAAAGCTTAATGTGTGGACATGGAGCAAAACTATTTAAAATATACATATAAGCATTAAGGATGTAAGGCATACATTTTACCACAAAATTGGCTCCAAGTTCAAAAATACATATTATTCATATCATGCTATTGTGGGCTCATTACTGCTAAGTGGTGATTTTGGTTTGGGTGCATCTCCTTTGACTCTGTAAGCAGAAAGCAGCTGCTGTTTTATTTCTATAGGGGTAAAATGGAGCCCCTCAGCTTTGGGAGAGTGTTGCTTGTGAGTAATAGTTAACCACAATGTCAACTCACTTATGCTTTATAATATGTCAGGACATGAAGCCAGATAAATAAGGTTCAAACTAAAGACACGTTTGTCTATATGTTGGCAGAATTTCCATAGCTTGGAGGAAGTCTTAGTAAAAGTCCTCCATCTGGGGCTGCAGTTCTTGACATTCCCAATTCACAATTTCATGTTCTTCCAACAAATGACACTAGTAGGTTGCAGATTCTCTCATCGAACCTTGTCTGCCTGAGATTGCTGGTCCTTCCCACGTTTACAGTAAATGGATAACTTCTGCAAATCTCATGCTTAGAAGCCCAGCTTGTTCTTTGTGACTGTGTATAGGTTGGGAGGAGAGTGTGTCTCTCGCCTGTGTTCCTTATTTAACAAGGTGAAGGAGAGTTGTCATTGAATGTCACCACAGTTCAGCATTCCTGACCCTGGGAAAGTGGTTTGAAAAGGTGTCAGTCTATTTGATCCTGAGTATTCCTTATGGAGGACTGCCATGAAGCTCAACCTTGATCCTCTGCCATCTGCCCCTAAGCCCCCAATGGGCAGCTTCAACTCTGGCTTGGTATGACTCCAGATTTAAGACTTCCCCTCTGGAGAGGCTGGACAATAGCAAATACTATCTGGATCTTTAGATGCCTATGGATGCTGAATGAGGAAGAAACTAAGCTTCAGATCTGCACTCTATCACTGTAAAGCAAGTATTGACCTCAAGGCCAACTCTGATGACATAAAGGCCAGAGAAAGAAGTGTTCTCTGGGGTCAGGGCTCCCAGGAAAGGCGGAGCTGCCATTAAAGGCTCTGTTTGGAGCAGCTGTGCACCAGAGCCTTCTGGGCACGTGAAAATGTTATCATTAGGATGAGGGTGGCACCTCCACCCTCCATATACTGGGCTGGAGTCCGTTAACACTCTTGAGTCCTGTTGCTTGTCTCTGTGTCAATACTTTCCTAAATCTGTAATACACATCATGACTCAGCATTTGACTTATCAAGAAAAAAATCAATCCAATACACCTTGAATGCTGATTTTGTTAGACTTTGAGCAAGTGGACCAGGTATGGGTGATGTCCAGATGGTTGTTAGTTATGTAATCTTAATTAAATAGTAATCCAACTAATTATGTAATCTTTTTTTTTTTTTTCATTTTTTGAGACAGGGTTTCTCTGTGTAGTTTTGATGCCTGTCCTGGATATTGCTCTGTAGACCAGGCTAGCCTTGAACTCACAGAGATCCACCTGCCTCTGCCTTCCAAGTTCTGGGATTAAAGACATGTGCCACCACCGCCTGGCTAGTTATGTAATCTTAATTAAAAAATAATACCAATTATGTTCAAAATGTATAAAATATAGTCATCTACACCTATATCTTGTTTATATCAGAACAGTTCTTATATTCTCTCTCTAGAGAGAGAGAGGAAGACAGTTATTTTTGAAGTTCAAGAATAGAATTATTTTACAATGAGGAATATAGATACTTGGGCCACCATCTCAAGGTAAAAGAAAAATTCCTTCCCTTTCTCACCCAACTGAAATACCCATAACTCAAATTACGGAAGAACTCTCCATGCCCTGGAATTACACTAACAGGTTTCCTCCAGGCATCGATATTTTCTCTCCAAGACCACCTTTCAAGTTAACACACTTCCCATCAGAATATTGTTTTCATGCCCCATATATAAGCCGTGTCTATTTCAGAGGCAAAAAATTATCAAAGAAGAAAATATAGTACAAATGTTAATTTTTAGAAAATAAAGACACCAAGTTAAAAAAATTATTTTTATTAGGTTTAGTAATGTATAGTTGTGTGTATCTACAGGTGGGTATGTCCACATGATTGCTGGTGCCCACTGAAACAGCAAGTATTGGATCCCCTGGAGCTGGATTTAGATGTGAGCAGCCATGTGGGTGCGGGGGAATTGAACCCAGGTCCTCTGGAAGAATAGCAAGTGTTCTTAAGCACTGAGCCACCTCTCCATCTCCTGGATAGAATTCTTATGGTTGTGCGCCCCAAAAATTTTTCACAAAAATTTAATAAGGCAGCCTTCCATGGGTTGTTCTACACTGCAAAAATGCACACCTCTTTATCAGAGCAGCCAACTGAAATGACTCGCTGCCTTCTGAAGCATAGAATTTTAATCGTTTCATATTTTAGACAGTGTTTTTTTTTTCTTTGTGCATATTGGTAATGGTGAAAAGACCTAGGTGATCCCTCCAGTCAACAGGCTTATTACAGAATTCCCATGGGTCGTGCTGTTGAAGGGATAGCAGTGAACATTCAGCCCAAAGCCCCCGTACCGTGGTTTACTAAGAACAATTCTCACATAACTCTAACGTTCAGCTGCCAACAGCACTTTCCCACGTGTTGATATTCTGCTTTCCAAAGTCAGAAAAGCAAGAACCGTGAAGCCTCCTAACAGCAACTGTTTCTAGAAACTTGAAAACTAAAATTCTAGTACCTACTCAGAAAATGCATTTGTTTCCACCTTCCACTAATGCTCTCCTCATCCGCCTCTGAAAATGTTTCTACAGAAGGAACTACAGGCATGATTGCTGGGTTAAATTGTGTTTCCAAAGGAACTAGACAGGGAAGAGGAGGGGAGAATTCCTTAGCACTCCATCTGTTATGTTCCCCAGTGTCTGGAAGACTCGGGCAGTGCTGAGAAAAAAGCAAGGAGACAGCTGAAGGTGACAGATTCCTTGAGACAGTCTAACTGCCCCACCCAGCCTTCTTTCTTGCGTGACAGACATCTACTGGAAATGATCATTCAATTATAGCTATATCAGTGAATTTTCATGATGGATAAATCACATGCCCGCTGAGCTGGCCAGCTGGGGTGGGGGTGAGCATCCTAGTTGGAATGCGGAGAGTGAACTCTTTAACTGCAACACCCACCTCACAGCCTATAAAGGCATGACCCTTCTGGTATACCAACACCGCTTCCTCTCTGGGGTCACCGCCTTGCCAAGCTCCCTCTCCAGCAGCACCATGTCGCTTTCAGTCCGCACCTCTGGACTGTCTAGGAGGTCCTCCTCACAGAATGGGGCGGCAGGCAGACCTTGGGGTGCATCTGCCTCTAGTGCTGCAAGCTGCTATGGGGGACTGGCCTCTGGCTTTGGAGTTGGTTGTGGGGGGCTCATTTCTGCTGCTTCCATGTTTGGCTCTGGTTCTGGCTTTAGCGGCAGCTCTACCGCCTCCTTTGCAGGGCTTGGCGCCGCCTGTGGTGGACCTCTGGGAGGTGGCTTGGGAGGGATGGGCATGGGAATAGGGGGAAGCTCGGGTGGTGGCTCTCTGTGTATCCTCTCTGACAATGATGGAGGGCTTCTTTCCGGTTCTGAAAAAGAAACAATGCAAAATCTGAACGATAGACTAGCTTCCTACCTCGGTAAGGTTCGCGCTCTAGAGGAGGCTAATGCGGAACTGGAACACAAAATTCGAGAGTGGTATGAAACCCGAAGGACTGGAGACTCTGGGCCCCAGAGTGATTACAGTAAATATTACCCACTGATTGAAGAATTAAAGAATAAGGTAAGGGGAAAGGCTTTAGAAACCTTTTTTAAAAATATTACGATATTTTATAATAATAAATTCCCTTAACTTAGATTTTTTTTTCCTAACTAGATTGTATTTAGAGAGTTTTCTCCTCTCAAGAAGGGCAGCTCTGTTCGTCATAAAATGGCTGGACTTCCACAGTACATTATTGTACATTTCTTAACTTTTCGACATTATTTTATCAATACATTTGCTTTTAAAATAAAGCTGTCTTAAACCCTTTGGGGATTTTTGTTTTCTTATCCGTTTGGTTTTATTGGGGAGCTAAGACATGGGACCAAGTGTTCTCTGGTTGAGCTACATCCAAAGGCTTTGCCTTAGGAAAATGGAACTGGAGAGCACTGTACTGAGTGAGGCAACCCGAGCCCAGAAAAGCAAAGGCCATCTGCTCTCTTTCAGATGTGGGTCCTAGTTTGGGATGTTTAGATTTCTATGTTTGAGGGAAGTGAGTGTCTGTAGAGGTAGAAAGCAAAAGAGGAGCCATGGTAGGGAGGAGGAGCTTAAGGAGAACGTGTAAAGCATCCATGATATGAAGGTAGAGGTGGAATGCTGGCGTGGAAAGCTTTAAACAAGGATGAGGTGGAGATGGAGGGAGAGGTAGGGGTGGGGAGGGAAGAGCCATCAAAACTAAGGATGCGTGAGAAGCCATAGAGAAACTTACTGCTTGAAAAGCTGAAAGGAATGTGATTTAAAATAAAGAGTTTGCACAGAGGAAGAAAAGTATTTAGCATCACCATTTACTCTTAATGTCCAAGATGACATTTGGGAACTGCCGGCACTTTAGGACTCCGTTTTCATGCATCTCCCTCTATTCTTCCAGATCATTTCTGCCAGCGTTGGGAATGCCCAGATCATCTTGCAGATTGACAATGCAAGGCTGGCTGCTGAGGACTTCAGGATGAAGTGAGTCTGGTACACCGATGACAGATAACTCATTCCTCATCCCACTCCCCCACTTCCTGCCTCCACTGGTGGCAAAGGAGTCGGCGGTCCTCAAGTCCGCATGCCCCACACCTTCAGTGCTCCCTTAAATCCACGTGGCATTTTTAAAAGCACTGAAAGTCAAACAGTTCACCTTATACAGCGCTAAAGCGTAAGTTGCCTCCACCTGGAGCTATGGATCATCTCTTTGCAATGACTCATAATTCAACATGATAATTGTACCTGTGTTTAAACCTGAATTGTCAATGTATCAGAATGAATTAATAATATTTTTTGCCAAGGGGTTAAGCGGTGCGATTGTTTCCCTGATGACACATACAATGGAAAGCTTAACTGTGCGTTTATTTTTATATCCCAGCTCCTTTCCCATACCCCACCCTCCTATGCAGAGGGAATACAAACTAATTTCCTTTTGGTATTATAAAATATCCCCACAGGCAGTTGTAATGGCGATAGTCCTGAACCTGTGAAGACCCAGTAAAAGTTACTAATGAAGTATCAAGGTTTAAAACTACTCACATGGAAGAAAAAAAAGAATGACTATTAGCTTACCACCAACTAGTTTTAGGCTACCTTTAGAAAGTCAAACCACAGGGAGCCTTCCCCCTGGGGTGCCAGAGTCACTGTTGGTAGAGAGTTATTGCCTCATTATTTCTTCATTTTTCATCTCTTCTCTCCAGATGAGCAGGAAGCAATCATACACACACACACAGGAGAAAAGTCACAAAATCAAAAATTGCATCAAGTACTTTTAAAGCACTGTTTTTCCTCCCCTTTTTTTTTTTCAGGGTCTCATGCATCTCAGGCTGGTCTAGAACTCACTAAGTAGCTGAGAATAACCTTGAAATCATGGTCCTCCTGCCTCCACTTCCCAAGTACTGGGATTAGAGACATGCACCACTGTGTCTGGCTCTCCCTGTACAGATCCATACACCAAATAGCCCTGAAGATGGCCAGGGCCCCATCACAATGCTGTGTTAATGTTGACTTCCTAAACTGTTGGCACTTGGTTTTCAGGTATGAGAATGAGCTGGCCCTGCACCAGACCGTGGAGGCCGACATCAATGGGCTGCGCAGGGTGCTGGATGAGCTGACCCTGGCCAGAGCTGACCTGGAGGCACAGACAGAGAACCTGACTGAGGAGCTGGCCTACATGAAGAAGAACCATGAGGAGGTCAGAAATAGCTTTACTTTTTTCTTTTTTTCTTTTTTCTTTTTTTAATCTCAGATCCAAAAATTACTATTTTGAATTAACAAAGCTAGAGACTATGATGTCTCTGTGTTATATGACTATTAGTTCTGGGGTTCTTGCATGTGTACCCCCGACCCCCACCCCACCCCAACTTCTCTCCCCTCTGTGTGTGCATGTGTTATGGTACTCTTTGTTAAGGTTATAGACTCAGGATGGCAAAGAGTATTCTGATTTTATTGTTTCCATTATTAAGTAATGGCAGAAATTTCCAGTATCTTCATTAAGTATATTTTAAGTATGGGGTATTTTAAACACTAAAACAAAACTCTGCAGATAATATGTGTGCCACATATGCTAGAGAACTATAACCAGTATAAGGTGTCATGTGGAACTCTGATTTGTGCATCAGAGGCTGGGGCACGGGAAGGAGGAAGGGATGCTGGCGATGGGCGTCTAAGGCAGTTTCTGATGGAGTCTCAGTGACTGTGGTGTGAGACAGCAGATGAGCCCAGGTACCGCTTGCAGCCCCAGCTCTGCAGCAATTGCTGGAGCAACCTGCACACCAGGCCCCTTCCCTTTCGTAAAGTATAGGAAGTAGATGTTCTAGACGAAGAGCCAGCAACCCTGGCACAGAACATGGGACCCCCTAGTCATTCCAAAAACCTGTGAAAATATCTTGGGTTTTGTTTGTTTTTCTTAATCAGAAGAAAAATGGGTTTTCAAGCTAAAAAAAAATGTGATGATGTCTTGCATTAATGTTTTGCTTTTATATCAATTCAGTCAAAAATATAATTTTATTATTACCATGGATGAAGAGACCCGAGAAGGCAAAAGCACCTGGAGGCTCCACTAGTCACGTGAACTTCTACATCCTTCTCTCTCCATTGCTGTCCCTAGGAAATGCAAAGTTTCCAGACAGGTGGTCCAGGTGAGGTCAATGTAGAAATGGATGCGGCACCAGGAGTGGACCTCACCAAGGTCCTCAACGAAATGAGGGCCCAGTATGAAGTCATGGCTGACCAAAATCGGAAAGATGCAGAGGCCTGGTTCCTTGAAAAGGTAACACCACCAAGACAGAGGTTTGGTGCATTCCCAGAAAGCCCCTTGAGCCCGCACAGAGCTCATCCATCCACCCACTTGGCTGTTGCAGAGCGGAGAGCTCAGGAAAGAGATCAGCAGCAACACGGAGCAGCTTCAGTCCAGCAAGAGCGAGATCACAGACCTGAGGCGCATGGTGCAGAACCTGGAGATTGAACTCCAGTCCCAGCTCGCCATGGTAGGGCAACATGCGGAGCGAGACACTGCATCCTTTAGCTTCCAAAGACGATGATGTTGCACCCACCGTATGCTGGACCGTGGACTGCCCTCTTGCTTTCAGACCCCCACACTCTTCTGTCTCTCTCCCATTTGCAGAAAAAGTCTCTGGAAAACTCACTGGCTGAAACCGAGGGTGGTTACTGCTGCCAGCTATCTCAGGTGCAGCAGCTGATAGGCAGCCTGGAGGAGCAACTTCAACAGTTGCGCGCAGATGCAGAGCGCCAGAACGCCGACCACCAGCGGCTGCTGGGCGTCAAGGCCCGCCTAGAGATGGAGATTGAAACCTACCGCCGGCTGCTGGACGGGGACGGCCAAGGGTGAGCAGACAGACAGTGAGGTTGGAAATATCTCAGGGGCTGATAGGCAGTAGACTCCTGATGCAGACTGTTTCTTCGGCTATGGGAAGAGAGGTCTGTAGTGGATTAAACAAAGAGCAAATCTTGCCAGTAATCCCAGCACGCAGAAGGCTGAGGCCGTGAAGCCCAAGGTACAGACCAACCTGAGCTACATCTACATAGGAAGACAGTCTCCAGGAAGAGGAGGTGGGCTGGCGAGTAGCTCAGAGGGTAAAGAGCTTGCAAATGTGAAGGACTGAGTCCAGAAGCCCCAACCCACCTAAGTCTCTATCTCATCTCTCCTACTGAAGATGGAAGGTAGAAACAGGCATATCCCCAGAAGTTTGAGGCCCAGTGTGTCTCAGACAAGCTGTAGTCCAGGACCAACCTAAGGTGATTCCGGCATCCATGTATGAAGTTGCAAACACATCCTTACACTTACACACATGAACATACACTCAAATACACAACACACACACACACACACACACACATACACACACATACACACATGCACACACAAACACATAAAGATTTCTTTTAAAGAGGAGGAAGAAGGATAAAACAACGAATCTAGAAAACACAAGCCTAAAATTTAATAAATACTATACAAAATGTATCTAGCCATTATATGACTTGATACTAATTAATAAAATGCTACAATGATCAAAGACTCATTGTAAATGAACATTTACATGTTCCAGAAGATCCCTCTGATTACCTGATGCTGGGATGACATATCAATAGTAGCCATCTGGACCACCTCCATCCCATGGTAGCAAGCCTGTGATAAACAATAGCAGGAGAGGAAGAGCTACTCCAAACCGTAAATTAAGAAAGGTGATTTCTAAGACCAGGCTGCATCCCCTCAGAACCCATCACAGGTGGTTTAGAAACAAATGTCTATTGACCCAATGGGTTACCCTAATGGTGCATCATTCAGCCAAGAAATCTGTAATAGCATCTCTCTCTCTCTCTCCTCTCTCTCTCTCTCTCTCTCTCTCTCTCTCTCTCTCTCTCTCTCTCTCTCTCGTTGTAGTTGTGTAGATATCACTAATGTTTAAACTCAAACAGTAGATTCTCCTGACCCAGCAACCACATGAGCCCAGCCTCTGTTTTCTTTACAGCACTGGATTTGATGAAAGTTTATCCCTTGCTGTCTCCAAATCTCAGACACCATCGGTTGATTCCTCTAAAGGTATGGAGAGAAGAATCATTAAAAATAAGTCAGAATCCCATCATTAATGACTAAACTATAAGATCTCATTAAGTGTTGAGCATAAATAACCTATGGTATATTTCTGTTCTGAGCAGGGGACACACAGTGTCTCTCCTGAAGCAAAGTGAGCAGTGTGCAGTGTATTAAAACTCTCGGCAGGCTAAGGGAGGGGAATCCTACTCTAGGTGCAGTGAGCATCACACACACTTCTGAAATGCTTTAAAATGCTCCAAGCCTGGTGGTGCCTGCCATCCCATCCCTTAGAAAGCTGAAAAAAGAGGATAGTGAATTCCAGGGCAGCTTGAGCTACTTAGCAAGACCCTGAACTGAAAGAAAAAGAAAGGAAGGGGGAACACAGAGATGGAAGAAGAGATTATTTTGATTTGCGCTCAAGACAGTATTGAATGAATTTCATTTCTACTGAAGAAAACTCATTTGGTTTGGGGTGGAAGTCACTTCCAAAAGTCTAAATTTGACGAAAAGCTTAGGTTGAAGAATAAACTCTGGGTTGATAATTGGTTAGCAGTAATCATTACCCCCTTTTTCTGTTTTGTTTTTTTACCTTTAGACCCAAGTAAAACTCGAAAAATCAAGACAGTTGTGCAGGAGATCGTGAATGGTGAAGTGGTCTCATCTCAAGTTCAAGAACTTGAAGAAGCAATGTAAAGCTCCTTGGGGAGGTGAAAGTGACAGCTGACATGATTGCTTCCACCTGCTGTGTTAATTCAGTATCTGTTTTGGTCTCTTTCCCCTTCTTTGGCTTCTCTGTTCATGTCCGGTCTTGTTAGCATGTCTGAAATGAGTCCCTGGGGCTGTGCTGATCTTCATTATAAACCCAAATCACCTTACACCTTTCTGGGCCTGAAGAAGTCTTTCCACTAGACTTTTTTTTCCTGGTCACCTGGACCATCTGTTTAATGCAAGAGCTTTGATGGAGTAGTATTGTTTTAACACAGCTAACTTTGATTAAAGACTGACTAATGGCAATGAAGTGAAGTGTGTGCCTCCTTGATTACAGTAATAGTGCCAAGGGCATAGACACAAGCTTTTAAGATCTTGATAATAAAGTACATAAGCACTCAGACAAAAAAAATGAGGCTGGAGATTAAGATTATTTTAAGGGGCTGGCCTCTATGTGCCAGCCCGTCATCGAGGTTGATGAAATGTTACGTTTTCCACTGTGGAAGAGGACTGTGGCTTGATTCGTTTTCTGGGGCCTTATTTCATACAGTCAGTGAGTGCTATACACTTAATTCCATACACTCAGTGGGTTCCTATAGAATGGAAGATAGGAGAATCTGTGGTAAACAAGACCTGGTCCTTGTCTAAGGGCAGAGGTAGACATCTACGAGGCATGGTGACACCTTGGCAGAGGGCTCACAGGAATTCCAAGGATGCATGGGGGAAGAAGGGATCAAGTTATGTAGGGACAACTAAATGTTTCATTCAGAAATCCACCAGGCAGTGGAGAGCGAAAGGCACAGAGCACATAGATGTGACAAGAGCTAAGGGTGGAGACCTCCCTGGCCTTGTGCTCCTTCCTCCTATCTGGGAGTGGTGAGGTCTAGGGTGGGGCTTTATGAGCATGAGTCAGACCCAAAAGCAATGACAGAAGTCAGGTTCTGGGTTGAGACCTAAAACACCCAAAGTCTAAACCAGAGTAGACAGCGGTTTGGTGTAGGCTGCCAAATCCACAGCCCCTGAAAGGGAACAAGAGTGGGATTCAGTGAGGAAGACCTAGGACTCCAGAGACAGACTGGGTTCAAATCCTAGCTCTGTTACTTAATCTTGGGTAGCTTCTCTCTGCACGCCTCGGTCTCCACATGTATAGTGCAAGCCCATGGCCTTACAGGTGCACACATCCTCAGCCATGCGTGTGCAGGCCAGAGTGGAACATGGGGCTCCTCCCTCTATCGCTCTCCCCCTTGAGACAGGCTCTCTCACTGAGCTGAGCGGGCTGGCCAGGGATTTCTCAGGCTCACAACGCTGGGGTCATGTGTCTGGCTCACAACGCTAGGATCATATGTCTGACTCACAACGCTGGGGTCATATGCCTGCCCTGCTTCTTAAGTGTGTGCTGGGGCTTCTAACTCAACTCCCCACGCTTGCAGAGCAAGGGCTCTCTTTACCCCTCGCACCTTCACCCCGGCATCCACTTTGGGGATGATTAAATGAGGTAGTCTATATAAAACTACAAGAACCTAGAAAGTGTTGGCCCCAGACAGCACCCAGTTGAGGCAGAGGAGGGAATAGCATGGTTTCTTTCTTTTTCTTTGTTAGAATGCTCAGGATCAAACCTAGGGCCTCAGTATGCTATGTAACTGATCTACTACTGAACTGTGCACCCAGCCTCAGAGTGCTCAGTGTGGGTGTCCCATTATTGTCTGCAATCTGGAACCAAAATGGGATGGAGAAACCTGGAGAAGGATGAGTAAGGAATATCCAAGTGGGCAGAGGGGAGAGGAAATATTGAGCCTGGAAGACTTCTATAGCTGAGAAAGACCTCAGAGGGTTTCTCCATTTTTCGGCTGGTTTGCTTGTGTTCAGCTTTCTGAAGTCACCTTCCTCTTAACGTTTTTTTAGTGGCTTCAGGTCCTCTGTTCATCTCCCTCTAGCATGCACTCACCTCTCTGTGTTTGGGTATCCCCTTCCAGCACCTGTCATAGATGAACCTGACCTTTTACACCCAAAGAGATGTCCTAGGTCTGTTCCTGAGCAAGATCCCTCAGCCTCAGTAACAAATGATGTCACTACTGTGATCTTCCGGAATGCCTGTAAACAGCTATTGCTTTAAACAATATGTTCCCCTTATAGTTACATCCGAATATCCGAGTGATGAGAGACTTGAGGGACTCCAAAGGGGGTACGACCAAATGCAAACCTAATGGTCATTCCTGGGATAGTTTGGTTTCTCGGCCTTTCATTCTTTTAGAAATATCCCCACCCCTGCAGTGTGGCTCAGAGACACCACTCCCCCTGAGAGATTCCTCTTAGACTTTTCTCTGTGAGCCTTGGGCTCCATCCTCTCAGCTCCCCTCCATGCTCACCCGCTGGTTAATCTCATCTGGTCCTGTGTTTTCAACTGTTGTCTATACTTCGATTAATTCTTGGGGTGGCCTCCATGATGATCCCAATTATCCATACCTCCTGTCACTCATGTGGAAGGAAGTGACAGAACACGGCCCCCAAGGACAACAACCCTAACCCCTAAAGTTACTCAACCCAACCCTAACTCTTCCCAACATTGAACCTAACTCTAACCCTGACCTAAATAGTACAAAGCCATCTTGACAGAAGGAGGGAGGTGACGAGAGGCCATGGAAGCGAAGGTGGTCAACATACATAATATAGAGGGGTCAAAGTGCTGCTTGTTGTGCTTTGGTCTCAGGGAATGCCAGATGACTACAAGGTTATACTACAAGGGAAAGCAGCGTCTAAAAAATATCGGCAATTTTACATATTCTCCCACTGAGGCTCCAGTGACTGGGATCTCACGGAATGGCAGCAGGTTCCAAATCACAGTCTTTTTTCCACGCTATCTCTGTGGGATGTTCTCCAGTCTCCATTTGGCAAATGAAGTCTGAAATCCATATTCTCACTGACAAGAGATGCAATTAGCACAGCATTCATCCTAGTCTGCTTGGACGGCTGTGACAAAATGCTCAGACCAGAGGACTGGAGTATAAATGACAGAAACTGATTTCTCACAATTCTACAGGCAGACTGGGTGCTTGCTCAGGGCCCACTCCCTGGGCACATGGTAGAGGATTAAAACCACACCCTGGGACCTGTTTTCCATAAGGCACTGATCCCATCTTCAAGGGCTCCGCCATTAGAACCTCCCAAATGCCCCACATCTTGACGCCACCACACTGGTGACTGGATTTTAGCATACCTATTAGGGGAGAACACAAACTTCTGGGCCACAACAATGACCTCACAAGAGTCTCCAGATCACAATCTCTGATTCAGCACAGTTGTGAAAGGCCCCTCGACTCTGCAAGACACAAATTGTGAAAATGTCGTTAGGGGAAGAAATAAGTTGCTCAAGGAGGGGAAAGCTGAGAGATCAAACAGCAAAAGACAACTATGTTAAAGTCTAAAATTTTTCAAATTTAAGTTCTTGTTTATACATGCAGTCATTGTTTTATCTAAGCTAAGGGTGGGTCTGGAAAATGCTATGTGTGCTGAATTGTTACAGTAATCTCTTGGGACTAGCAAGGGGTTTCAAGAGGATGCTCCATTTTCCCTTCTGTGTGTGTCTTAAAAGTTCAACAATCACATATATTGCTCTAATAATAAAGGACAAAACGGATTTTAGTCATCCAAACAAATATGTTGGAGGAAAGGTTAACAGAAGAGGGAAAACCAGCCAGAGACAACCCCTTAGGATGCAAGACTCCCTTCGGCTTGGTGAGAGCGCCACCTGCTGGAACTTCAGAAAAGGAACTTTAAAAACTACCTCCTTTGCTCAAGCCACTTGAGATTAGAACACCAGATTATTTCTTTATCAGAAAGGAAGAAGGAAGGTAAGAGGGGGGAAGAGGAGCAAGGGGAGGAGGAAGAAGAGAAGATTTCTTTTCATTATCAACTTCGTAAGCTAAGACTGTCTTATTTAACTGGTAATCGCTCCCCAGCAGGAGGGAGGTCTACTAGACAGTTTGTGGAAAACCAAGTTAGTAATTAACATTTAGACCACCAGGCAGGTAATCTGATCATCCTGAGCTCTTCCAAAGGTGCTCAAATATCAAATAAAGTGAAAGTGTATTCGCAAAGCTGAGTAAATGACCTTTCGTGGAGTAAATACTTCTTAAATGTTAGACACGGATATAAGACTAAATTTTATTAAGATTAATATCATGATCTGGGGAGATGAATCAGTCAGTAACGTATTCGCCACGTAAGCACAAGGACCTGGGTCTGAGTCCCAGAATCTCAGAGACTGAGACCTGTGGATCTTTGGGGCTCACTGGTCAGCCCTAAATTAATGGCGAGCCTCAGTCAAGAGAGATCCTTTCTCAAGAAGCAAGATGGAGATAGCCTGAAGAATGACATGGAATGTTGACTCCTGACCTCTACAGGTACACATCTGTATGCTCATGCACCTGTACACATACATGCACGCATACCACAGAGAAAGAGAGAGGAAGTAACATCATAAACTCAAAATCCAATTAAAAAGCCAATGTGCTGTCTGTATCTTTTTCATTGCCGCAGCTGGTTTCCAAAGCTGGGGCTGAAGCATCTAGCAACGTATTAACAAAAGATTGTTAAGATCAGAATTTATGGTCCTAGAGCTGGGCGACAGTGGTGAGCTGGGCAGTGGTGGTGCACACCTTTAATCCCAGTTCTTGGGAGGCAGAGCCAGGCGGATCTCTGTGAGTTGGAGGCCAGCCTGATCTACAGAGCGAGTTCCAGAACAGGCGTCAAAGCTACACAGAGAAACCCTGCCTCGGAAAAAAATAAATAAATAAATAGAATTCATGTTCCTAACCCTAATCTCCTGATGCAGTCCACATGCTAGAATACAACCCACCAATTTATAAAGACTAGAGATGCTGATATAGAAACTCCATGGAAAGCGGGACATGGTGACATGGCAACTGGAGTCCCAGCTACTCAGGAAGCTGAGACAGGAGGATCATTTCAGCCCAGGAGTTTGAGGCCAGACTAATGACTAAACTAAAGAAGTCAGACACAAAAGAATACATCTCTATGATCCCATTTATATGAAACTTTAGGAAAAACAAGTCTCCTCTCCGATGACGGCCTCCTGGGATGAAAGGTGAAGGGGAATAAATGAACTGGCTTAGTGGGCGC